CCTGAAATAGAGTGCGCCCGTGTAGGCGCTGTAGCACACAAACCCCACCAGGCTGAAGACCAGGTAGTCGGCACTCAGGCCGCTCACGTCACGAGTACGGTGATTCTCAATGATCTAGGGGGGGGGAGGGGGCACCCAGGGCCGCAGGTGAGCTGGGGGCTGCGGCGCTGGGGCCGCCCAGGTGTCCCCCCGGGCTGGCTGCGCCACACATCGGGCGCCGCCTCACGCCCCTCCCGGGCCGCCCTACCTGTGGCCAGAACGAGATGGACCAGGCCGTGAAGTACATCCACCCGAGCGCGCTGCTCAGATGCTGCGCGCCCTCTGGCAGGGCGTCATCCAGGCCGACGCCCGCCCCGCCCAGCAGCGCGCCGACGGCGATGGACGCGCCCAGGCTAGCCGCGGCGCTGGCCTCGTCGCTCCACGCGGGGGCAGCTGCCCTCTGGGCCTCGCCTGGAGGCAAGCTGCGCCCTGTACCTTCCCGACTTGCCTGACAGCTGGCCACTGCGCGCCGCAAACCATGCGCAATTGACACGCGCACGGCTGGTGCTGCGGCGCCTGAAATGCGCTGGTGCTGCGCTGCTGCTGCATCCAGATAGCCAACAACGCGCTCGAGGCGCCCTCCAGACGCTACAAAGCAGCGATGGTGGTGCATCAGCTTGATAAAGTCGGCCCAACGACGCTGAACTGGTGCGGAAGGCTTTGCGGGGGGACTCGCTGTGCAATTGTGGCCGCTTGGTGGCCACCCTGCAGCCTGCTTCAATCCTGGAGTTCAGAGGTTAATTGAAAGTAAGGCCTATCCGATACAACTAGGGTGCACGAGAATAATGGACGGCTGCGCGAGGGGCCACTCAGGGGCCCAGCACTAGGAAAGAAGGGGCGGGATCACAAGTGCAGGCCGATAAGAGACCCAGTAAGCTTTGCTAGTCATAAGTGTTTGCTGCAGCCACCGCGAACTATAAATATTATAACAGATGGGCCAAATGAAAAATTGTACTGGCGACTCATCACTCGAACATGCACACAAAGCTCTGCAGCGACCGGCGCTATCTTAAGCAACACTCATGCGTAATACCTTGCGTGTAAACCGGCCCAGGATGACTCGACAGGGTCAACTCAAGTGAACCCCGTTTCAATCACCTGCAGCAGCATGCCTGTAGGGCGGGTCACGGACCTCGACTTCTTCTCGGGTAATGGTGGTTGATTATATAGCCGGGCTGCCGGGTTCCAGTGCCATGCGCGGCAGAAACACACCCTGATTGCCTCTGCCTCCTGCGGGCGCGAAACGCGGGGGCAGTGGCCCCACACAGAAATTCAATGCGCCCTAAACAGTCGATCGTTTGATTTTGCGCGCCTGCAGTCACGCGCGCAGTGCCGGTCGCTCCCGGCGGCGGCAGCAGCGTGCGCCGCAGTGCGAGCGGCGACCCGAGCCCGCCCGATGCAGACCTGAAACCAGCCGGAAGCAGGCCCGCCGGCGGTGCGCGGCAGCTACACGCTGGCGGCAAGTCGATGGACGCCGGGAGCCGGGGGCGAAGCCAGCCGCCGAGCCCTGCGAGGGGCCGACGTGAGCAAGATTTGAGGGAGGCGGGAACAAACTCCGGCGGCACGCTTTGCATGCACGCTGTGCATTGCACTCCATGCAAGTCTTGGCGACCAAGAGCATGCATGCATGCCAGAAAAAACCGCAGACCTGAGCTGGAGCTAGTGGTTGACCATGCATCAACGGTTTGGCGCACGCTGGCTGTTTGGATGCGCGACGTCAACAGCCCTTGCATCCAAAAGTGCAAGCCGCCGCCTGTGTCCTGCTGTTGCTGCATACGCCTCGCAGCTGGCGCGGCCTCCAGCAGCGGGGAGCGGGCTCAATCCTATGCGGTCGGCGGGTTTGGCAGCGGCGCCGGCGGGATGGCGGGGGCGACGGTGGCGGGCATCAGGGCTAGCCTCCCGTTCTGGAGCGCCAAGGCGTACGCCCCGGCCCGGGCCTCTGGTGATACCATCATTGGAGCAGCCAACCCTGCGGCCGCCCCCACCGCTGGCGGCGTGGCTGCGGCGCAGGCCAGCGGCCGTCCCGCAGGGACGCCCGCCACGGCACCAGCCTCACCGCCCATGTACCACGGAGGGTTTGGCGGGCGGTCGGTCACCCCTGGGCGCGGCGGCTATGGCGGGGCGCCGGGCTTCAACCCAGCAGCGCCGGCCGGCGAGCCGCCGGCGCTGACGCTCCACTCGCTGAAGCCGCCCGCGAGATACGGTAAGCCCCGAGGGTGGTGCTGTGTCTTGCTTCAGGGAGAGCTGCGGAGCAGGAGCGATCCCCTTCACAGTGCAGGCTGTTGGCGCACCCTCATG